TCAAACCATTATATCTAGCACGATACATGTCTAAGGTTGGCTGACAAATTCTGAGAGACTCCACATGGGTATCTAGTAGCTTATTGAGATTTTCCTCCCTCGTAAGCCAATATGAGCTCTCTCTCTTCAAGTCCTCAAAGTGCTCCTTCCAATGTGCAGCCAATGCTTGGGAAGTTTCCAACTCTTTGCATTTGTCGTTCCACATTTCTGGAGTGTAGCATGAAGTTCTCGTGGTTTCCTCTTTAAGGTAACGCTCATCTTCAGCTAAAGTCAATGCATCCCTTAGTCAGGATCCTAACTCATCAATGTCGGCTTCGAGATTTTCTCTGCTTTTCTTCTTTGCAGTAGAAACTGTTTCATAAAAGTGGCATGCTTTTTCACAGGAAGCTTTAGCCTCTTTCAGGCGTTGTTATAAAGTCTTCACTGATGCGTAGGCCCCTTCAAAGCCATTTTGATACATGACCCTCAAATCGTTTTCTATCTTTAGCCTTTTACTGCTCTCAGCCACTTGATCTTTCTCAATTTCCACCTTCCTTTTGAACTTGCTAGTTTCTATACAAGCTTGGTGAATTTTTGCTTGGAGCTCTTCATTCTCCTTGGTCAACTTTGCCACCAATAGCTTTAATTTGTCATACTCCTCTATAGGCACATGAGTGGGTACAAGAGGTTTTGCTTGCATGGGAGGTTCAGGAGGAAATGGTAACAACCTTTCTACCACCCTAGCCAACAATCATTTATTGTATGGTTCTTTCACCACACGATTCTTTGCCTTCAACTCCCTTCTTCCTCTTGTGTGGATCTTGGTCCACACCTTAACAATGTTTCTGACAAATCCGGGATCCTATGTTTTGTTGATCAAGAAAAAGCTTTAGATCTTCTCTGCCTCGGGCTCATCCTCCATAGCATAACCCAATTGACGTAATACCTTGATCGGGTTGTAATTAATGCATCTTGCTTTTCCAATCAGAGGCACATTACATAATTCTCCATAGCTGAAAATGATTTCCACATCATAGTACTCATGGGAGTACCAAGAAATGTCATCTGCTACCAAAGACATGATGTGTCTAGACCATTTTAGTTTCTCCTTGTTCTCCACAAATAGACCATCCTTAGGAAAATGAGAAACATACCACTTGAATAACAGGTGGGAACATCAATGGATCATTCCTGTTTTCTTCACACTTCTCCAATGAATGGAGTGGTAAGTGTTAGCAAGAAGGGTGGGAACAAGATTCTTCTAAATGAAAAGACTGACAACAACAATGTTTATGAAATTGTCTATATTTGGGAAGAGGACAATCCCATAGATTATCAAACCAAGAGAGACACCAAATCTTTCCCAATCTTCATTAGCCTTGTACTGAGCAACCTTATCAAGAAGGAATTTTAGAGGAAACTCATGAGTACCTCCTTTGTTGGTCAAACCAACATTAACCTCTTCTTTGGTCATATGCAGGGCAAAAGTAATGATAGGCGGCTTCGGATCTTCCTCCAAACAAGTGCAGATGGGTTGGTCCTTGATCTTAATAATCAGCAGGTGGGAATATTCCTTAAGAGTGGGATCCAGCTGATTATTCTGGAAGGTGAAACATCTGAGTGGAGCATCATAGAATTGTGTCATAGCAAATAGAGCCCAAGTATCCACACCAGAATAAAGAAGGTCAAGTAACTTCCCATGCTCCCCTTGGAAGTTGATTTTGATAGCTTTCAGCACGTCATTCATAAGATCTTGGATGACATCTAGCTTTGGCTCTCTGAACTTCAAGGAATTAGTGTTTATATTCTTGTGATCATCCATTCCTTCAGGAATACATGAGATAACCATAGTCTCTTAAATCCCATGATATGAAAATGGTATGCAATGCAATTTCATGAATGCACACTTCGGAACAGGTTCACAGCATAGGGATCATGGTCACAGAGTGTGCAGGCCAATACAAAAAGATATCTCTTACCTCGGGTGGGTAGTCTATTGATTTATATCAGGGTATTCCAAGGGCTTTCAAACAAGATCCCATGCACTAACCCTCAAAATATTTCTATCATAATGATGATTTGTAAGATAGTAATCCCTTCAAAGGATGAGCACAGAGTTATGTCTTAGTAACCTTTGGAATAAGGTTCTACAAAGGTCCTCAAAATCACGGACACCAAGGTCGGAAATAAAAACGTTATTACGACTGCTCGTAAGACATAATCATTCCCAAATGGGCCTCCTCTGAGTGGTGGAAGTCAAACCAACTCAACGAGTCTTAAGTCTCGCAAATCACAAAGCAACCACCTCTTAGCTTAGTGTATACTGGAAAAGCTCGGGTAGAAAGTCTTTCTCCTCACAAACCATCCCCAATAAACCCAACAAATAAGAGTAACACAAATAACAAAGATAAATAAATAAATCAAAAATAAAAGCAAACAATCTACACATGCGACAAACAGAACTAGGTTTGGCTTGCTAGGGTGAACCATATCCCCAGCAGAGTCGCTAAGCTGTCGCTACTTGAAAATGCAACGACGTCGAGGAGAAAAGGGAAAACAAGAGAGTCTCCATTGAACTTTATTTATCCCAAAAGAGGAAGGGAAAACATCGAGAAAACCACAAGAAGAAAATGGATAAGGTGGTCTCGCATCCAAACTATGGGTTCGGAAGCCGGTTATGCAAAGGGAAGGTATTAACACCTTCCACATCCATCGTACTCGATGGGAACCATTCACTTGTCTCATTTGTAAGGATGTTTTATAAAGGATATTGATTTCTAAAATTGTTCTAAGAGGGAGAGATAAAGGGAAGAAATAAAGGTGAAAAGAAAAGAGAAAGAAAAAAGAGAAGAAAAAGGTGAAAACAAAAAGAGACTCGATAGGACTTCACAGTCTTATGGCTACGTATTCTCTTATGTAATGGGAAAGTCAGAGTCGACGTAGTTCGGAGGACTATGGGTGAAGAAAATGGAAGGGTGCTTGCCAAGGATTGGGACCCTTATACCCTCGTATCTTCATTTAAAAAAAGTGAAGAATCAGAGCGTCCGTAGTTCGGACTACAGTTTGTTGGTATTTTTATGGATGATGCCAACGTTCGCATTCTAGCAGTTTGGTGTATTGCAGCTCGTTTGTGGAGTCTTAGGCGTTACTTGTTTGCGATAGAACGGAAATAACATGCCCTTTTTGAAAAGGTTTAGTTTTCTCCCTCAAGGCAAGATGTCACATTTGATTTGTGAATTTTGATTTTAGGGGTGAAATAAGTCCTCGGATAGTAACCCCTTATGGGCAGTACCTAATTCTTTATCTCAAAAGATTTATTGTGAAAGTTGTGTGGTGAATATAGTCATGTCTTCGTCTTGAAAGATGAGTATTAAGACCACACACTCTAAAGTGAGTATCCTAACACTCGGAGTGGAAGAAGTCTTCACCCAACCCTCTCTCTTTAATTTAATACAAAGAGAACCTTATTCTTTTATTTATGGTGTTTTGATTTTGAATGGTAAGTGCTTTATGATAGTGAACTCTAAAGGTAATGTCAAGCACTCGGGATAAGAGTCATGCCTGGATGTGTGATTTGAGTCAGACAATAAAGTGAAGAGTTTGTTATTTTTGTGATTTGAGTCAAATAAAGTATGATTCGAATCACACTTAATTTTGAAAAAAGTTTGATTTCCATCATTTGAATCAACTTGCATGTGATTGGAATCAAAAAGTACTGTAATTCAAATCTTATACTTCCCTAATTAGAATCGGACTGGAAAAAGCAAAATTTTCATTTCCAAGAAGGTTTTTGATTGGAATCCCACTTTTTTGTATTTGAATTAAGCCTTAAAAAAACCTTGATTTAAGGCTTAGACCTTGAGGTTCAAGCTATAGGCAATACTTTGACTTATATCACATTGCAAAGGCTAAAAAAACATTCTTATGAGTCCATTCCAATAGATTAAATGTAGAGGTGTTTCAAAGTACATGTTTAACAAATGAAGTGATAAATTACCAATCAAATTACAAATGAATTGTATGTATATGACTAGTCAAATTACACATGCATAAATACAAAATGAACAGAAATAAGTAATACTGACTACAATGTAATTTCATTTTCTTAAATTCTGTTTAGAGAATTATTTGAATTTCTCCTTGTTTGAATTGAAAAATTATCAAGTATTTTTTTTTATTCTCTTTGGAGAATTACTTGAATTTCTTTTTATTTGAGTTGAGAAGTTATCGAGTATTTTTTTTGTTCTCTTTGAAAAATTATTTGAATTTCTTTTTATTTGAAAAATAATTGAGTGATTAAACGATCATTATTTAATTCTTTTTGGAGAATTATTTAAATTTTTCCTCGTTTAAGAAATTATAATGAGTAGTCATTAAACTAGATACTATGAGTCGTAGTTATACCATATTCAATTGATTTTTGTACTATCAAATGATATAATTCTAGTTTGATTATCTACCACACAAATAATAATCGTATAATATAGAACCAAACTATTTTATCTTAGAAACATTATGATTGAATAATTGATTTGCATATATATTACTGTGAAATATATTAAATAGGGCGATTTAATCTGCAAGTCGACTCGATAATTTTCAATTTGACAAAATTTTCAAAATTGAAAATCAGCACGAAAATTTACCTTTTTAGCTAAGGCTTCTAAAAAAGTTTTAGTCTTGTGTTTGTAACTAAATGGTATATCATCAAGTTCTAATTATCTGTAGTCTTCTCCTCTTATAATAATTGAAAGTGACATTATTTAGGACAGAAGTTGTATCAGTTTGGCACGCATATCAATATTTCCATTTAGATAGATAAATTGAATTTGTGCATCTCTAATATGCTTTTTTTTTTCTTCAACTTAACATCAAATCCAAAAGATGTTTCTTTTGGAAAAATAACAACATTAACTGTTGTAGTTTTGCTTAAACATCACCCCATGAAAATCAGCAGGGTAATGCAAAAATATTAGTAAACTGCACAAATAAAAAGAAAACATAAACTTAACAAAACTACTCTAGGAGCTCCAGATTAGAGTGCAATCATTCAACTCATTCACCCATTGCTCAAAATCATTTGCTTGTAAGGACTTCTCATTCTCAACCACCATAACTTGACTTCTATTCTTGGCTAATTTGTTAAGTAGGTCAGCCATACCCCTCCTCCTCTTTGACCCCGGTGAAGATAACTCACAACTCCCCTCTGATGAAGATGGTTCGGGTGAATCCCGTTTCAAAACCACCTCCCTCTTTGGCTCCGACTTAGACACGTCGTTGCCAATAAGGTGAGGAAAATTAACCTTGGCTTTTTGGCCACGCATCTTGAAAGCAGCTTTGTCGTAAGCCAAAGCTGCTTCCTCCTCGGTCAAATAAGTTCCTAACCAAACCCTAGCGCCATTCTTTTTTGGATCTCTGATCTCTGCCGCAAACTTCCCCCACGGCCTACGTCTAACTCCCTTGTACCGCTTCCATGACACCGGAGGTGCGCTTACCTCACAAGCCCCTGCAGATTTGTCTGAATCACTGTCACTTTTAGGGCTTGAAAAAGGTTGATAAGATGTTAGAAAGCTGGAATCATCATAAAGAAGGTATTTTTGAACATGTTCCAAATATGCAAAATCTGTATCATTGGTAGTAGAAGCCATGTTTTGGATGAATGCACTAAAGTTTTGGATCTAAATAAAGGTTATAGTTTAGAGAGTAACTGAGACTTGAGAATATAGTCCTATATATACTACAAACTTTATTTATATATATAGCAACAACTCTTGTTGATTGAATTGTTTATTCAAAAACTGACAATTTGAACCGCGTGGTGTTATTCATTTTTTAAATTAATATTCCTTTTTAAGGTCACTTCGATGAAACTTCATCATGAGATGGGCTTTTGAGTTGTGCAATGGTCATCACTTTTGGTTTTTCAACAATTGAATATGTGCTTATATAAAAAAAGACTTGAATATATAAAAGCCCTTGATTGATATTTTTAATTCCTTGTCTCTTTTTGTTGGTTATTGCACGTGGGTCTTAATTTGTTTTATATGGTTAAATACTTTATGGAAAAATAATGTATGGTATTTTTTTTATTAATGAAAATAATGCACCATTTTATATTATGCGAATACTATCTTTAATCATGAAAGATTTTAACATTTTTTAAAAGCAAATAAAATATATAAATAAAAAGACACTAAAGATTAAAGATCAAAAGAGTATAACAAGAGAAGTATCTAGTTACTAGCAAAACTCTGACAACAAGACAGATCGAAAACGTCAAAAATGAAGAAACAAATCTAAAGCTCCCCGCCCAAAGATCAGCTAGAAGGAACACTCATTTTTATCTGAGCAACAAGAACACATCAAATGGAGGATGAAGACACTTTAAGTTATTGGCTCAGATGCATGATAGAATTCTCGAGAAAGTACACGAGTTACCCACATACCTACTAAGATAAAATTTTAACATCAAGAAGGTGTTCGTGTCTTCCACGCCCTTCAAAGTCAGCAATTTACCTAAAACATTATATCATTGTGAGATTTCCAGATCGAGCAAATTACAACAATGTCAAATCATAAGACAACTCCCCAATCCTAGACAAACCACCAAATGACAAGGACATCTGAAAAAGAGTCACATGATCTCTAGGTAAAATCAAACACCACCCCAGCCAACTAAAAGTCATATACCAAATAGAAAACCACTACTTCACAAGCCACAAAAAGATTAGAAGACTACTCAATATTCTTAGAGCAATGAGGGGAGAGGATTCCCCCTGAAACTAGTGGGTTCCCCCTCTTAAGTAAGTTCTTTATGATAGGGATCCGGTCCTGAAGAAATTTCTAGAAGAAAACAGTTACTTTTGAGGGGACCCAACTACTCCAAATACTAGAAAGAACTCGCTTTACAGATGAGTTCTGAAGATGTCTAAGAAGCTCCCAAAAGAGGAGGCAAGTATATGCATATGACATAGTGTAAGAAATGTCCTTAGAATGACGCGACTACCACTTGTTGAGGTGAGCTGATGGGGTAGAATCCCTAATCACTAAGAGAAAATCAAAAATCAAAATCAATTCATGTTCAAAAAGATAGGCTCTTATCCATTTAAGATTTCAGACTCAGGTCTGACCCACCCACGCACCAACCTCTCCCATATAACAGACTTCTTGCTGAACAAAAGACAACTAGTTCTTCAAGCCTCCAAGTCTTCTTGTCATTCCATAATCCCTCCTCAGAGATCCTAAAAAAATACATTTTAATTAGAGTAAGATAACTATATATCATTGAAGTTCTTTATCTTATGGGTCTGCTCGGCTCTAAAGGTGTCGATTACTACTCAATAACCTAATATTACACACTTGTATTAGGCGGCAAACTAAGAGATCGAAACCTTTATGTTCTCACAATGCACGATCATACAATTGCCTTTCCACATTCAATTCTCACAACGCATAAGAGAACATAGCTCTTATTACAACTATTTTAGTACTCACAATAAACAACAACATATAAGAATGGAGTTCTTATTGATTCACTTCACGCGAGTGTTAGCTTCTAACTACGCGATCAATGATATGTTTAAAAAAATGTTAGTCTCATTGGACAAATTGATTTACTAAGCCTCATTCATTCAAGCAAGGGATTTGCGGAGCGACCTCCCCCCTGGACTCCTAGAAATGCCCATCTTAGGGACTTACATGCCTAATCATACCCCACTCTTGACCTATATGATATTCTAACAAACACGATCATATGAATCCCTACTCATTAGGTAATATCTTTTAGGTAAGTACAAATACATAAGAAAGGTTTAACCAACATCTTTCCCTAGGTAAGATCTTTTAAGTGAAAGATCTTCCACTTATAAGGTAATATCTTTTAGGTAAACGTACTCGCACATAACTATTTACCAACTAGGGTATCACAATTAATCAACCCGATTGGGGAGATATAGATGACCACTCAAACCAACTTGGGTTTGTGTAGCGGCGACATTGGTCCCTTCTTCCGAAGGAGGTCACCCTTATACATGTGAACTTTTAATTTATCTCAAGAGAGAGAGAAGGGGAGAAAATCTAAACAAACCCATGGGTGTATGCAATGCAATGTAATGTACTAAGAGATTTGGGCATTGGGAATGGTTATACTTAGGGAATGTATTATCACCCTAAGTATCTATAGTATTTTATAGGAACCACTTGTGTATATTTGTATTTACTGTTGATTAGTCATTTCCTGTGTATTGGAGATTTGTTGACTATTTTAAGTGAGTGACATGAGAATTTTTTTTGTTGTTTTTATGGTATAAGTTGAAATGGTTTAAGATAAAGGTATAGGAACCTAAGGGTTTTATTTATTACTATGCTCGCTAAGATCTCGCAATCTTATGCCTACGTATTCTCAAAAAGAAATTGAAAATCAGAGAGTTCGTAGTTCCACCTACTAATGGGTGGAATTGGGTTTGGGAGAAGAGAGAAGTTGTCCTCTTAAGGGAGATATCTCACCTATTCACCACACAAAATTTGACAAAGAAGGGGAAAAAGCTTTAAACTTGGATGTAGAAAATCCAGAGTAATGCCACATATCACTCGGTTTTCAACGTAGATCTCATTTCTAGCATTGTTTTCTATGTTTGAGACCTCTAACACCATTAAATCTAGCTACAAAAATTAAACACATATTCTGCAACTTAAGAAAATAAGAAAAACACACATGCTAATGTGTTCTACATGATCTCAGAAGTTCAAAAATGTAAGCAACATGTTCAAACACGCATAAAATGCAAGAGAAACAAAGTGAAGAAAGTTCACCAAAGTGGAGAGCCGGGTACCCTTTGAACTTGATCAAACCTTCCACAACCTTCTTCCTCTAGCTCCAAGACCCCTCAGAGATGAAGATGGAAGCAAGAAATGAGAGGAAAAATGCTTGTAGAGGGTGGTTCGAAGAAATATATTTTTTAGAGTGAGAGGGAGCTTTAGGGTTTTGATTTTTGATCCAAATGAAGTGGCTTCCCTCTTTGCTAGGGTTTTTTCACTAAAATAGTAAGGTATTTTGAGGTTAGCATTAAGTTGATTAAATCAGTGGTTAAGATTTTGAAAGAAAAAATGAAAATGGATGGTGGATAATGGTGTGGTAAGAGCTTCATCAATTAAGGTGTGGTTAATGTTGTATTTGTGAGTAGCCAAGGTGCATAATGGAGTTAGAGTGAGTAAGTGGGGAGTGTAATCCTTGGTGTGCAAGTTTTGTGCATATGTCATTTTCCTCTTTTGGCCAAAACTCCACAAAATTGTACATGAAGAATGTGGGTGTTTGGCCCTATTTGGCAATGTCTTGGGCAAGCAAAAATGAGTGATGTGGCGCATGAATTAGAGGTATGAAAGTTGTTGCATGGACATGCCAAAAACTTGCTAAGAAAACACATGTAATTGCACTTTGAATCCATTCCATATTGCCTACTTTGAACCATCACAACTTGATAAAAGTTACTCCAATTCATGAACTTTTTGGCTCACATGGAATTAGGAAGAACAATGATCAAGTTCCATGTTTAACATGAATTGAAACAAGGTTTGGATCCATGAGAAAAAAATGGTTGGAAGTTGTGTTCACAAATCTGTCCCAAATAACATAGAAATTTTTATAAGTTTAATAAACTTTGGCATCTTTGGAACATCATCTTTGAAGCCACATATCTTGAGTTCTATTAATCCAATGAAGGATATCTTGTTATCCATGGAAAGCTTGGAACAAAAAGAATAAACTTCATGTGGAAAGAATATTGATTTGAAACTTGTAAGAGCAAGAAAGTTAGTCTTGAAGTTGGCTCCAAAATTCTGCCTAATGACTTGTCTAACTTGACAACTTCATGACCCTATCTTTGTAGCATCATAACTTGAGCCTTAAGCATCCAATGGATGAGTACTTTGCATCAAAATAAATTTAGGAAGATGCCTAACAACACTCGTGTTGCAAGAATTTTGAATTGAAGGCTAGAACCATGAGAAAGAAAGCCTTGAAAACTCATTCTCCAACTTAAGATTCCATACTTAGAAAAATTCCAAGTATAACATTTCAAAATCTTGTTTTTCATAACTTCATGCTTCCATAACTTGAAAATCATGCACTTTTTGAAATTCACCCATATTGACAAAGTTGTAGTATGGGAAATGATCTTTATATTAATCTTTGGATCAAGGAAAATGGACGTCTAGATTGTGAGTTATGCCCTTTGGCAAGTTAAAACCAAATTAGGTTTTTTCTACATGACTTAGAAAAAAATCCAAACCCTAATCTTGGTATTTTCCCTTGATTAAATAATTCCACCACTTCCTCTTGGTCAAACTTCATGAGGTTATAGATGATGACTTGAGAAGCTCGTGTTTGACTTAGAATCCCAATGATTGACCTATGTGAAGGAAACAATTGACTTTTGGCCAGATGAATCCAAAACTTCCTCTATGCACTTGAGAAGTTCTTGACATGACTTGTGATGAATCAAGATTCTTGTATGGATTCCTTGAGTTGTACTTTGAACCATGGAGACATGTTTTGCTTGAGTATTCCACCATAGGTTGCTTTACCAAGAAACCCTAGTCTAGAGCCATAAGGTAGGAGCATTGATCAACCTTCAAATTCTTAAAACTCTTG